GAGCAGAACAAAAAAACAGTGGTGATAATTTTAATTACCAGATTTTAGAAGTGAAACTTTAAACTGAACAGTTTCATACAAAAACAAGACTATTCTCAAAGCAAGTTAGCATGTTTGTAAGCATTAGTGGAATTAGGACCAAAGTGTCATGTATTATTTGATTACAATATATTGGAACTGAAGGATGTTTAAATAGGTTCACATAATGTGCAGAAAGTAGAAGCGTACTCAAATGTGCTGGGTTCATATATCAAACTAAACTATAATGGGATTTGCTTGATTTTGGTTTAGTGTAGGGGTACACAACTCAGGCCCTAGATCCCTTTCAAATTTTGCCACAATACTGCATTTTTCAATGAAATAACGTGGAAAATGTTAAATATAAGGCGTGGAAGTATATTAATAATAATAATAATATCTGAAGAAGTTGTATAACCTTGGTTTAGCAAAATAGGTGAATCCAGACTTCGATGTTTAGAAAATTGCTCTGTAAAGGATATGTTAGAAGGATACCTTGTTAAGTATTTTGTTTCATGTGTACAAGTGATGTTAGATACCCACTGTACCAAGGTCTCTGTTTTTCACAGGGTTTTTTTGGTCATCCTATTGGGAGGAAAAGAGCTTTGAATTAATATTTATGATCTAACTTATCTATGTCTAAATTCAGTTATGGAACATTGAGTGCTATGGAAAATTTACAAATCAAATCATCAAAATTTTATTTACAGTCGTAGACCAAACATGATTTACAAAAATAACACTATTTCATAACTAATACTACTAGAAAATCTACTTCTTTAAATTGCCATGAGGTTTGAGAAAAATATATGCAAGTAGCAATGGTATTCCTATATGAGTCAAAGGAACATGACTTGCTTTTGCACAATTTGATTTTGGAGGTTGTAACCAATAAATGCAGTACATGGAACTGCCTTATTTTCTCAGGCCTCCTTAGTGGGCCATTTATTAATTGCACAAGAGACAATAACACTATTTACACTCAAAGATTTCATGGACAGTATGTAATATCTTAGAAAGCATCTTAGGCTGCAGTCCGAGAACTTACACAATGCATCAGAGTTCACTTTTGCCCACAGCAAAAGTCATTTTACTAAGCTTACTATTTTAATAATAATACAGTAAGAGGATCTTCACATTTTTCCCTCCCGCCCCCAATTACAAAGAACAGTTCCAGAGATATAATGAATGAAGTACAGGAACTAAAAAATCCTTTGAAAATACAAATACAAATTAAAACAATGTGAATTTTGTGGTCTTCACATTTGGAGTACAGACTAATAAACAACAGAGTTTTTCATTGACCTCATTGTCCCTGCATGTGCTTGTAAGCATCGCTGCTGTAATCTACAGCTTAAGGGTCCCAGGTTCTCTCGCTGCTGGCGATCAGTGAGCCTGAAATGGTAGGACGCTACTGGGAGTGGATTCTGCTCCACGTGCGCTAGCAGTACAGTTTAACCTTGAAAAGAATGTAAAACCTTGTTTGTCCTAAAGATAATGCGCGCATTTGCTAAGATTTCCGCCCCTCCCCCCCGCTTCAGTTACACTGGAAGTTAAATGCTTCCCCGCGTCGTTAAACTAGGCTTACCAAAAAAAAAAAAATACTGGTTAGCTTTACACAAGCTAAGCCATGCTGCCTTTTCTCTGCTTTTACACTTGACTTTTAGGGCAGGGTAAACATCCAGCCCATGAGATTTACAAAGGGTTTCTAGAATTCAACGTTTCCGTTCCCATTCCCGCCCATTTTGCTTGGATTGCCTTTCCAACTACTTACCCTTCCCGGAAAGATTTCCCAAATTGTAAGCAGTTTTAATCCATCCAGTTCATTTTGAATAAGTCCTGATGTTTAGAGAGCGCTCTCGGCGACAACAACCTTACGAAAGGCAACGTCTGTTCTTCTAAAGTCACATTAGCAATTCCACAATTTCCCCCATCGCCTTCCGCTTCTGAGGCACGGAGCGTCACGTGCTTTGCCTTAAAGAACCCGACCGCAATTTTGTCCGTGCTCTCCTCTGCAAAAGTAAATTCAGCTGGCAGTTCTTTTAAAGCAGTGCTTTTCAAACTTGGTAACTTTAAGAGGTGTGGACTTCAACCCCCAGAATTCCCCATGCTGGCTGGAGGATGTGATTCAGTGCTTGGAGACTGTTAAGATATGGGTGGGAATCTCAACAAAATGATTTGGCTGAGGATTCATAAGCCAGCTATATCCAGAAACAGTCCGTCTTTTACTCTCAGTGAGATTTTTCTGCCATAAATAGAGCTGGCCTGCAGTTTGGGGATTTTCCTGTGCTTTATTTCAGCTCCTGACTGAAGCTTGAAGGCCCCAAGAGGGCCTTCACAACATTACAGCTTGTGCTCCAGTTGTAGCCATTTCTCGAAGTTCTTTGTTCCCTTGTCACTTTGTGTCTGGACTACTGCAGTTTGCTATAGGTGGGGCTGCCACTTAAAACCAATTAGAAACTTGAAGTACAGTACCATGGTGTGGCCTGAATAGTTATGGGCGTAGCTAGACTTACCCATGTAATAATAACAGCATTATTGCGGGAGCTGCATTGGCTGCCAGTTGGCTTTCAGGCAAAATTCAATGTGCTGGTTATCACTTTTATAAATGGCGCAGAGCTTGGACATCTCTGCAATAACTTTTCTGAGTTGGTCAGTCCACCCAGTGAGAACTAGTAGAGAGGATTTGTTGAGGTTCCAAATTTGAGGAAGTGCCACCTACTTGGGTCCCATGTTCAAGCCTTCTCAGTGATGATCTCTGCACCTGGAATGGCCTATTCCTGGATATCTAGACCATCCTCTCTCTTGCATTTTTTGAGAGCCAAGAAAATATGGCTCCTCAAAAAGTCATTTGGGGACATTTGAAGATTCTGTTGCCTGAATATCGACACCTAAGGGCCTTGTTCTTGTTTATATTATTAATCCTTTATATTGTAGTTCTGTCTGGTTACTCGCAAGCAGGAATCTTTGGAAATGGATAAGCATATAAGCTGAACAAACAAACAAACATCTCAATAGAAATGTTGTTAGTTTGGATCTGGCTTAGCGTGTTTTGTGGTGTATTCAGGAAAGTAGTTTAACCAAACAAAAGCATCCTCAGACTCCAGGGTCACACTTAATATTTTTGTGCCCCTTGATTTTTCTCCAACCAGAAATGCTGAAAATTGGCCATATGGTTTCCCACAATTTTGAGGTAGGAAACACATTAAAACTACAGAAGGATTTACATTGGCTTAACTTATTTAAGGGAGTAGAAAGAAACCACCCAGAGCTCCCATTCCACAGAAAAAGGCAGAAAATTATGGCATTGTTTACAGCATGCTGAGTTTGGGAACTCTTTATAACTATTCATTAGCCTGCAGTTTGGTGACCCAGAATGTGATCTGAGCTTCACCTAAGTTCCATTATTAAAGAGATTCTGGTTAAACAAGCACACCAAATTGTGTACTGCAGTCACCATTGCTGGGGGAAGTATAGGTAGTCCTCACTTAACAACAACTCATTCAGCGACCGTTCAAACTTACTGTTGCAGCATCCCCAGAGTCATGTGATCGCGATCCAGGCACTCAACGACCAGCTCAGAATTATGACATCACAGCATCCCATGGTCACGTGATTGCCATTTGTGACTTTCGGTGCCGGCTTCTGACAAGCAAAGGCAATGGGGAAGCTGGCAGAGGTTGCAAATGGCAACCATGTGACATTGCGCTTAATGATGGCGGAGGATTCACTTAAAGACGGCAACCAGAAGTGCCAGAATTGCCATTGCTAAATGGCATGGTCATGTGATGTTCCACTTGATGACCACATTGCTTAGCGATGGAAATTCCGGTCCCAATTACCATCCTTAACCTGTAGTGTTAAAAAAACACCCTGAATTTGTAGACTTTTGGTTCCAATTGTTCCTTTTGGCCACTAGAGGCTGCCATAACTATAGCAGAATCAACCAGCAATCTTGGGTGAGCTGCAAAGAGTAGTGTGGAGGACAAAACAGTAATTAAAAATAGTGGTAGCTATTTTTTAGCAACAGAAATTCCAGTCCCAATTACCATTGTTAAATGAAGATTACCTGTATGTGAAGCTTTGGATTTTGCAGCTGATGGCTTCTCCTTTAGCAACAATGACTTCAACCAAACATTTCCTGTACCTGTTGATTTGTTCACAGAGAACTACTTATTTGGGGTCTGTCTTGCAAGAACTATAGGTCATGCCACAACATTTCAGTTGGATTAAGATCAGGGTTTTAAAAATATGAAATTTCTTCCATGAATGCCTTCAAGAGCATTTCCATACGAGATCTTTGCACCAGTTCAGAATCACTTCTGGACTTGTCCAGCATCACAGTGTTCAATGTGTCCAAAACCTGAGCCAGTTTATTACTAAAATTGGCCAAAAAAATGCAAAAAATGTACTTATTTGGTACATCCAAAATTGCAACAAATGGATTTATTGGTTTGTTTATGTGAAATCTGTAGAGCTTGTAGGTGAGAATTTGCCTCACTCCATCTCCTGGCTTTTCTGTCTCCCCGTTCCCCTAGATGTTCAGCTGCCATAGCTTTATTCTCAGCAGTGTTCTGAGGCTGAGAGAAATGAAGATTTTTATTTAGATTTGGAAGGCCACCCAGCTCTCAAATGACTCTGGGCAGCTTACATAGTTCAAAGAAGAAGAAAAAGGAAATGAAAGAACATGTACGACTGAACAAAATCACTCATGGCATTGCAAAAGAAAACTGCCATGAGCAAAACAAACAACCAAACCTCAGACCTGTGAGCAAAGGCACTTTTTCAAAGACTTACAGAACCTTGTAGGGTGAGAGTCATGCAAACCTCTGGGGAGATGTTGTGCCAGAGGGCAGGCACTGTGACAGAGAAGGCAAACAATGCAACTAGCAGAGCATTGATGACACATGGGTGCGTTTAAGTACACCCATTACTGCTCACCTTGCTGCATTTTGGACCAGCTGCAGTTTCCAGGTGGTCTTCAAGGGCACCCCCTTATAGACACTGGAGTAGTCCAGTCATGAGTTGACTAGGGCATCAGGGACTATCTGAAGGGCCTCCCATTCTAGTGTCAGCCCAAACAAATACACAAGACTAAGAAACCAATGCCATATAGATCAGGATTACTTTTGTTGTAACAGCTATAGTAACAACATCTTGCAAGTCTGAATGTGCTTCCCCCTCCCTCACTTTATCTTTGTGTGAACTAGGGAGGGGCTTATCTGAGACGTTTTCTCAAGTAATTTTCTTGGCCCAGGCTCATGTTCCTCTTATCTGACTGTTGTCTTGGTAGCAGCTCTTCTTCCTGTCCTTTCAGGCCTTTCCTGACACCTAGATCTACTTTTAGGAATGGGGACAACTAGCACATCAGATGGGTCAATGCATAGTTAAAGAAAGAGAAAGATACCAGCAGCACCATCTAGTAAAGATGTGGGGAAAGAAAATAAAAGAGACAGTGTTTTGGGGAGGGAAGAGAAAATAAGTACTAGGAGAGGGAAATAAAGTTGGAGGACAGGAACGAGGCATAGAACATCTGGAATTGTGTGTATGTAGGTGCATGGATGGATGAGTAATTCCTCAGAGGTCTTTTGCTCAAGGTTCCTTCAACCTTGGTAAAATAACTGTAACTTTTCCGGTATTATGATAAAAACATTTGGGGGGATCCCTAGCTTTGAACTGTCTCTAGGTGGGCAGTATCTGGCCAACCTTGTCTCAGTGTAGAAGTTGAGTCTTGGAACTAGCCTGCATTTGGATGGACTGCCCCAGAGAATACCAGGATATAGGATAGACTAGGTAGTTGAAAAAAACATCCCAGAAGACAGTAGCAAACCACTTCAGGATTCCTATCAAGAAAACTACATATATACAGTATGTCCATGAAGTCATGAGGCGTGGAACAGAACATGAAGAAAACTTACCTTTACCTAGTTTTGA